CTGCCAGGACAGCTGTTGACACCACGTGACAGCTCAGGCTGGAAGGGCGTGGCAGGGAAGAGCAGACACTGCATCAGGTAGAAACCACCCCCGGGCAGCAGAGGATTTAGCACTCACCCCAAAAAAAGGCAGGGAGGGATGCTGGAGCAACCGTCTGGAAGAAGTCAGGCTTCCCCAGTCAGCTGAGTTGGGACTAAGATCCCTGGGCTTCATGGAGTGAATGAGGATTGGGAACTGGCTTTGTTTAGATCTAGGAGGCAAGAGCCGGGGAGGCGTGTCCAGGGTGCTAGGGCATTTGCTCATGATATCAGGGCTCCTGAGTATGCTGGCTGAGTGAACTTGAAGAAGAGCTGGGAGCTATGCAGAGGACAGGGCAGGGCAGTGGGGTCAAGAGGCAGGAGGCAGATGGCATCCTCCCAGCGAGGACCTGGAGGGGAGCACAAGGGGCAGGACTGTGACTTTTGAATGAGATGGTAGAAGCAAAGGCTATCCTTGAGGAGGGAGAATAACAGCAAAAGCCTGCCTTTGTGATCAGACTAGCAGGGGACAAGGGCCTAAGTGGAGACTGAGGTCAGTATGGACCTCTCTGAGAAACAGTCAGGGAGGAGGGTGGTGGGCTTGACTTATTCCTGACAGACTGGGAGGTAATGGATTATCAGAAGTGGGACATGCATTCTGGGTGTGGGGAGCAACATGAGCAAAGGCATGGAGACAGGAAGGCTAGGTCAGGGAAGAGATGGACCAGGCTGGGTGGGTGATTCTCAAAGAGAGCAAAGAAAAGTAGGGGACAGAATTTGAGCATTCTGTATCCTAATCTGGAGAAGTTGAGACTTATTTGTTGGATAGCTGAAGCCCACACCCCCTCCCTATATTTACCACCATCTAGAATATTACAGGTGGAGAAGGAAATGGCAACCCACTCCAGTGTTCTTGCCTGGAGAATCCCAAGGATGGGGGAGCCTGGTGGGCTGCCGTCTATGGGGTTGCACAGAGTCGGACACGACTGAAGCGACTTAGCAGCAGCAGACTGTTACAGGCCATGACTGTCCTTCTTCCAGAGTTCTAAACCCCCTCCTATAGCCCATCAGTCCCCACCTTGGGAGCCCCATCCTAGCCTGACTGCCTCCAGCCCTCATATTGTCTCTTGAAGACTGCTTTATGGGGATTGCCTGGGGCCTCCCCAGTGAGGAGGCCAGGGACATGTCTTCCCCCTCTGCTGCCCTTCCCCCACCCCCAGCCCTTTCCATCCCCACCTGTGAGCCCCCTCTCCAAACCTCTCCCAGCCCATCTCCTCCTGTCCCCTCAGCACCTGATGACATGTAAGCTGGGGACACAGAGAGTCCAGGAGCCCAAGGATGTTCTGCAGAAGCTGCAGGAGATGGACGCTCAGGGCCGGGTGTGGAGCCAGGACTTGCTCCTGCAGGTCAGGGATGGCTGGCTCCAACTGCTGGACATCGAGACCAAGGTCAGCCTCCCACCATTCCCTGCCAGGGGTCATAGCTAACCTGGGCTGTGGGAAAGTAAGCCCCGGGGCATGAACACCATCCCACCATGCCCCACAGGCAGCCACCCCTCCCCCCCCACAATACATGCCCAGGACTAGGAAGAAACAGGAGATAGAGGCACAGGGGTCAGGGGAAAGGACACCCCATCCCAGGCCATTGGAAGGGTGGAGCAACCCAGGTCAGGAGCTGCTAGGGTCCTGTCGGGCTCTCAGCAACCTCACAGCCAATGTCTCTGCTCGGCCCAGGAGGAGCTAGAGTCCTACCGCCTGGACAGCATCAAGGTCATGGACGTGTCGCTCAACACCGGCTCCTACAACTCTGTCCTGTCCATCACCGTGCAGGATTCGGGCCTGCGAGGCACTAGCACTCTGCTTTTCCAGTGCCAGGAAGTGGGGGTGAGATCTAACAACCATCACCACCCTCTACCTTAACCCTCCCCTCCCCCATCGCCCAAGCCTCTCTGACTGCTGGTTCCTCCAGGCAGAGCGACTGAAGACCAGCCTGGAGAAGGCTCTGGAGGAGGAGCTAGAGCAAAGGTAGGCAGCCTCTGCCCCAGCGCACCTGCAGAACCCTGGAGCTCAGGTCTGGGTGGGCTAGACTCTGCCGCACACCTGGGGGAGCTCAGGAGCCTGTGGCCCAATAACACAGACATTGATCTGGGGAGTGGCGAGGCTGGAAGCAGGACGCAAAAGGGCCTGGGGAAGGGACTGGTGCTGGGCCTAGGGGCCACTGGAGACTATCCTCAGAGACTGACGTGGGACCAACTGGTCCCGGAGGGCAGGCCGATGATGCAGGGGAGAGTCAGGGAAGGGTTTGGATGGAGACCAGGGGGCAGGGCTGGTGGGGCTCCTGGAGAGGGGCAGTGGTATCCCTGGGTCCTGGGGCAGAAGTGTGGGCAGAGCCTCTGCCCCAAGAACCCAGTCAAAGCTGTGGCCCTGTCATGCCCTTCACAGGCCCCGGCTGGGAGCCCTTCGCTCGGACCAGGACCGGTGGAGGGGGCCTCCTCTGGAAAGGCCACTCCCTAAGGAGCCGGCGCCTCCTCTGGAGTGGGGACCCCATCCCGAACAGCACTACTTGATGGGCCCAGAGCACGGTAAGTTTGGGCGTGGGGGCCAGTGGGAGGAAAGGTCCCCATCAAAGAAGTTCTGGGCCATGGTCCTCTTCCTCTGCAGACACCCCACCGCCATCTCCAAGGCCCCTGCCATTCCGCACCAGCATCCGAGAGCCAAGCACCTTCTTGCTGTCTCCTTCAAGGAGGTCCCCATCCCCTGAGGACCCAAAATGGGATAAGGTAACTGCAGACTGTCTTGGGCTTGTTGAGGCTTTTGCGGTCTAGCCAAAGGGAGGACACCAGTTGTCTCCCTCACCTCAAGGAGCCAGGTCCCAGGTCGACCAAGGCAGGGCCTGGCCTGAGAGGGGACACAGAGGCTTGGTCAGGCCCTGGGCTGGGCCTGAGGCTCAGGCTTGTGGTGGAGGGGGGCGGGGTTGGGAGCTCCAGGGCGGGTCTAACTGCCCACTCAGCCAGGGGGTGTTTGGGGTCCAGGAGGTGCTGGACCACGTCCTAAGGGACATCGAGATGTTTGTGGGGAAGCTGGACAAGGCCCAGTCAAAGACCGGTCGTAAGAAGAAGAATCTCAGGAAGAAAAATAAAAAGAATAAGGGAGGTGAGTGCGAAGGGCCAGGGGAGAGGAGTTGGGGTTTGGGGGAGGGGGGGAAGTCTTGGCATGATACGTGACTCACCATCTGCCCCCTTCTTGCTATAGAGATAACAGAGGAACATTACATCGACTGCTTCCAGAAGATCAAGTACAGCTTCAACCTCCTGGTACGTGACTCCCCACAAGTTTCCCAGCTCTTCTTGCCCCCTCCCCTCTCCCTCGCAGCAATCCTGTTCTCTCTTCTCTCCATGGACATCCCATGCTGCCCCAGCTTCTCCCCCTGGAACAGTCCCTCCCCACTCTTGGTTACTTTGGGAGAATGCCAGGCTCCCCACCAAGGCCCAGAACAGTTATGGAGCCCTGGGGTCCTGGTGAAGGTGGGGTGGGAGGAAGGCTGGTGACAGGCTTCCCCCTGTGTCCTCAGGGAAGGCTGGCCACCAGGTTGCAGGATACAAGTGCCCCTGAGTTTGTACACATCATCTTCAAAATTCTGGAGTCTGTGAGTCAGGGCAGGGGTGGTGGGGGTAGGGGGGAAATGGGTGGTGGTGCAGAGGGATGTGCTGAAGTTAAGATGAGACAGGTCAGGGTGGGAGGAGGGGGCAGAGGGAGGTACGGGTCTGCTCCTTGCTCACCCCCAGCACACACTCTTGCCTGACCCCAAGACACTACCCTACTCTGCCCAGCAAGTGCCTCTCAGCAGACTGGGTGCGCTGGGGCTGGAGCCAAGGACACCAGTGAGGGCAGGAAGGAGCAGGCCTGGGGCAAAGTAGGAAGCCAGGGACCCCAAGCCCTTTCCCACTCCTGCCCCCGAAGAAGCCCAGGCTTCCTGACACTTTTCATCCTTCCCCAGATCCAGACCCAGTGCCCTGAGTCTGACCTAGCAGCCCGAGTGATCTCACCCCTCCTCACCACCAAGGCCATCGAGCTGCTGCAGTCCTGTCTAAGCCCATCAGAGAATAACCTCTGGAAAGGGCTGGGGACAGCCTGGACCACCAGCCAGTAAGTGACAATAAGGCCTGAATGAATCAGAGGCAAGCAACATGGGGGTGTAGGGCGGGAGGTGACAAGCTCTATGTTGTATCTTAAAATGAATTGTATACCCGTTAAAACTATACCCATTCCTCCACTCCCCAGCTCCTGGTAACCTCTACTCTATGAAATATCTCAAAACAAATCAGGGAAATCTACCCGGAGTTCCCAACTTTTAATTAGGCTAAGCACAATGGAAAAAAAAAAAATACACACACCAACACACTTACCATCACCCACCACTGCAGAAAAGCATTATCTCAGAAAAAAGAACAATTCTTCCCAAGAAAGGAGCACTGGCAACCTTCTATTAAATTTTTTCTCATTTTTGTCAAGGACGAAGTGAAAACTTTGTCTCAATGCAGCCCAGATTTTAACAATGACTGACGTAAGAGATGCTGCAAATGTAACATCAATAAAATTTGCAACCAACTGGCAGAGGAGCTGAGAGAAGAGATATTTCCTGTGGGTGGAACGGTGACACGGGCAGTTGGGCAGCAAGGCCAAGCTGATGGGAGCAGGTGGGGTGGGGGTGGGATGTGAAATCAGTTTGGACACCCTGAGCTGACGTGTCTGCAGAGACTGGGTGGCCTGGCCCTGCAAGGAGAAGTCTAACCTGGCTATGAGAGTTTGAGAACAGTCAGTACAGAAGGGATAGCTGGGACCCCCTGGAGGTAAGCACTGCAGTAAAGTGAGCAGAGCTCACTTTAACAAGCATGGCCTGCTCTCCCCACGAGAGACGGGCCTGGGAAAACTCTGAGATGGCAGAAACAAACAGGGATAAGGAGGTAAAGGAGGCAAAGAGAAATTCCAGAGAGTTAAACGGAGAAGCAAAAAAGCAGAAGCATGAAAACCAAGACAGAACAGGGTTTTAGAAAGAGAAGTCAACTGGGGAAAAAGCCAGTGGTCCTAGGAATCTTTTTGCCTAATGAGCAGTTTTTTTTCGTTTTTCAGTTCAGCCCCATTAAAGGACTTCTGTGTCCATTTCATCTAAAGACATAAAATATAACATAACATAACCTATTTATTTTATTGTGGTAGAATATACATAGGATAAAATTTAACTATTTTTTAAGTGTATAAGTCAACGCCATTAAGTACATTAACAATATTGAGCAACCATCACCCCTATTCATTTCCAGAAATTTTTCAGCATCCCAAATAGGAACTCTATACCCATTAAACAACCAAACAAAACTCTTTACCCACTCCTTTCTTTCCCCAGCCCCTGGTAACCTCTACTCTATTTTCTGTTTCTGCTTAACATTTTAAGTATAAGATTAAAGTCAGGTGTACCCTGAAATGTTTTCTCATTTCTTAAAACAACCAAAAATTAATGAATGAATGGTATGTCTTGTACTGGAGCTTATTGGCTCTTGGGTGGTGGTTGGTTTTGGTGTAGGTAAGGAAGCTTTTGGATGGTCTCTTATTCCTTAATGTTCCGTGTGGCCAGGAGTTTTCTGGTTTTCTCAAGATTTGGGCTCAAGTCTCCTGCCTCTGGATTTCAGTTTTATTCTTCTAATTGTCTCAAGGCTTCTCCAACTATACAGTACTGATAATAAAACTTCTAGGTTAATGGTGAAAAGATTCTCCNAACTCTATACCCATTAAACAACCAAACAAAACTCTTTACCCACTCCTTTCTCTCCCCAGCCCCTGGTAACCTCTATTCTATTTTCTGTTTCTGCTTATCATTTTAAGTATAAGATTAAAGTCAGGTGTACCCTGAAATGTTTTCTCATTTCTTAAAACAACCAAAAATTAATGAATGAATGGAATGACAGAAACACAGAGAACAGAATTAACGAAAGAGATGTAAAAACCTTCAAAAGAGTTAAATTTCAGGCAATTTTATTCAAACTATTTCTCTTGAAGCAAACTGGCCCAAACTATAAATGGCACTAAATTCTGTGGTAATAGAATAGAAGGATACATGGGTTTGGGTAGACTCCAGGAGTTGGTGATGGACAGGGAGGCCTGGTGTGCTGCGATTCATGGAGTTGCAAAGAGTCGGACACAACTGAGTGACTGAATTAAATTGAAGGTAATAGGATGGCATCTTAAAAAGCATAGTAACAGAGTCAAGCGAAGACTTGAGCATGTTTTTAAGGCAAAGAAAAGGAGCTAATGGGGACTTCCCTTGCGGTCTAGAGGTTAAGACTTCACCTCTGATGCACTGAGGAGAGAGTTCTATCCCTGGTCCAGAAGCTAAGATCCCACTTGCCTCCTGGTCAAAAAATCAAAATACAAAACAGAAGCAATATTATAACAAATTCAATAAAGATTTTTTAAAGGGTCCACATCAAAAAAGGAAAGAAAGAAAGAAAAGGAGCCAATAAAAAAGATTCAAAAGAGGGAATAATTTGTCCCCATTGAATAAATATTTATTAGGGGTTCCCTTTTGGCTCAGCTGGTAAAGAATCCACCTGCAATTTGGGAGACCTGGGTTCAGTCCCTGGGTTGGGAAGATCCCCTGGAGAAAGGAAAGGCTACCCACTCCAGTATTCTGGCCTGGAGAATTCCATGGACTATATAGTCAGTCTAAAGGGTCTCAAAGAGTTGGGAATGACTGAGCGACTCACTTTACTGCCTCATCTGTCCCTTGAGCACTATACTCTGGAAACAGCTATCAAGGAGATCAACATAGTAAGAAATATAGATAAGTGAGAATAATGTGCAATTCAGAATGTGTGTGCACAGCGCAAAGAAGCAGCATTCACATCTGTCTCCGGGAGGCAGGGAGAGACTTCCTCCAGGAGGGGACTCCGCGTTCCCCAGGCAGGCAAGCAGAGCCAGCCTGGAGGCCACAGGCAGTGCTGCTCCTCTGGCGTCCTGGGCAATGCATGAGGAGGCAGGCTGAGAGGCAGGTACCAGCCCCCACCCTAGAGCCAGCCAGAGTGCTCTGTGGTGATCACAAGGGGGAAGTCCACACACGAACCCGCTAGAAAGAAAGATCTGCTGCTGGGGAACTGAAACAGGTTAGACCTCAAGAATGTCTTCCAGCCCTAACACTGCAGTTCTGCCACTTTCATTCAAACCCCCAACAGTGAGTTAAAGCACTCATCTCTTAGCGTGTTGATATGTCTGCACTTTCACGGGCAGAGGTGAGGCTGGCCCACAGATACCTGCACCGTGGGATTTGTACATGCTTAGCTGTTCGCTCCTATGTGGGTGTCCTGGGGCCTTTCATCTGTGCACATGGGCCACTTTCTCCATTACCTGGAAGATCCCCCAGGCCAGGTGCTGTCATCTCCGCCTTCTCCACACCCCACAGGCTGGCACAGAGTGGACTCAGCCCTGTTCTTTCCCTAGGGCCAACTGGACAGGCAGCGAGCCCCTGCCCTACCAACCCACATTCTATGATGGTTGGCAGCTTCCAGAAACTTCCTACCAGGTAAGGGGAGCTTAGCACAGAGCCTGAATCAAAGCCCTAGACTCTAGCTAGTTTCCAGCATCTCAGTCCAGCCATGGTCACATGACACCTAAGTGGTAGGTGGGTTCTGTGTAGAAAGCAGACAGGCGAGGGGGTATGAGGCAGCTGTGTGCAGATGGGTCTGTGGTCTCACACCCCTGCTCTCTACCCCCAAGCAGCTGACGTCCTGCTCTCACTTTTTTCTGCCCCTGCAGGCGTTCTCAAGATACCAAGACCCTACTTCCATCCGGTATGCCCTGGGCTTTGTCAGGACCGTGTGGTTCTGGGGAGGGAAGGACTGGGCTGATCCTGTGGATCTGCAGATTCTATACCTCACTGACCTCTAGGCTCTCTTTTAGTCAGACACGTACAAGCACATCTCTCCCCTACTCTGGGTGAAAAAGCAGTTTTTTACCTTCCTAGGTTCTAATCCCTCTTCTTTCAATACTCCCCACACATAGCTGATTTCTCAGAGATTGAGTATGAAGTGCTCAAAGGAGTGCTCAGATACAGAAGACTCCACTGCCGGAAGAGTCTTGAGAAATCACCAACATCTAGATCCCTTTCGCCTATAGAAAATCATACCCCAAGCCCATCTAACAGTGACCTGCCCTCAAGCTCTGTGGAAACCTCAAAAGCCATTGCTAGACTCCAAACAGGAGAGATCTGGGGCTGAGACAGGGGCCGGATCTCTGAGGCCCCACTCTCCAGCCATCCTGACTCTGTCTCTGGGGGGCTAGTGGGGAAAGCCCTAGGTTAAGGAGCACCTCGCAGTTTGCTCAAGAGGAGACACACAACCATGGCTCCAGCCCTGTGCCCTCCAGACCCGGATCTGTCAAGCCAGCCCTGAAAATGCAAGTCCTCTATGAGTTTGAAGCTAGGAATCCACAGGAACTGACGGTGGTCCAGGGAGAGGTACTGGAGGTGAGGCATGGACTTGAGCTGAGAAAAGGAGGCGGTGGTTGGTGGTTGATGGGAGCTACTGGGAGCATGGGGGGTGGAGGGAATGGCCTGGAGAAGGTGAAGGAAAGTTGGGCAGGGCCCCGAGAGAGAAAGTCTGGTGGGGGAGGGGAAGGCTGGCTGGAGAGAGGCTCGCACTGACCTGGTGACTCCCTGGCAGGTTCTGGACCAGAGCAAGCGGTGGTGGCTGGTGAAGAATGCAACGGGACAGAGTGGCTATATCCCCAGCAACATCCTGGAGCCCCTAGAGTCGGGAGCCACCAGGAGTCAGAGCGAGTCACCCACTCGGGTATTAGCATGCCTAGACTTCAGAAGCTATAAAGCCTGAATTGGAGGTGGGGGCAGGGAGGATTCTTTGACAGTGGAGATGGCCCTGGTTCTTCTGAATCAGTATTATCACGTGCTCACTGTCTGCCGAGTTTATTGTGGGGCCAGAGCAGAGAACAAGCCTTATGCTTGTCGGACAAGCAAACCATGGAGTGAGACACATGGTTTGATGACAGCCCGGGGAAGGGACCCTGATGAGAGGGGCTGTGGGTGGCTCTAAGATGAGATGGCTTCTGACTCCCACTTCCCCTGGTTCTAGGTTCCGATGCTTCGACTTAGCTCAAGGCCTGAGGAGGTCACAGCCTGGCTACAGGCAGAGAACTTCTCCACTGTGTGAGTGCCAAGTCCCACAGCTTTACCTGTGTAAAGGGGGCCGATAACGACTGGGCCCCCCCCTCCCCTCCACAAGTGTCTCTTCCAGGGCACTTGTCCCTTCAACCCCAGGAGTTTATGGAGTTGGTTTAAGCCAGTATGTTTGTCTTACTCCCTGACCTCCAGACACTCTTTCTGTGAATTCTCCTGTCACCCCAGCCCTCCAAGCCCAAATATCCACCCAGATACTCAGGGCTGGGTCCTTCCACCCCACCACTGACGGTTTCTGCTATTTTTGTGTCTAGCACCGTGAAGACCCTTGGGTCCATGACGGGGAGCCAGCTGCTTCACATGAGACCTGGAGAGCTACAGATGCTGTGTCCACAGGATGCCCCCCGGGTCCTGGCACGGCTGGAGGCTGTCAGAAGGATGCTGGGGGTGAGGACGCGCAAGGATCCCAAGCCCTGCTGGAAATATGGGGTGCTCCCTGAGTGAGCACGAGAGTGCCCGGCGGGCACGCCAGCGCACCCGACCCTGGGGCGGCACTCACTGTAGCAGGTCTGGTGCAGGACGATCCCCCAGGGGCTTGACTTCATGTGACAGGCACACCTTGCAGCTCCTAACTGACTGCTGGCATGAGCTCCGGGGTCCCTTAGCCGGCACTGGCCTCACCTCCACCTTTTCTTTCCTCAGATGAGCCCTTAGGCGCCAATTCAGACAACTCCAAGACCAAGACTTTCTCACAAGCAAGATGGCGGATCTGATACTCTTTAGAGCCCTGAGAATTCCTCTTCCAAGCCCCCAGGTTGCAGCAAACCCCACACCCCAGCTCACACAGCAAAGAGGATGAACAAGACCAGAGGCTGAGACAAACCGTGCCCCTTCTCGCTGTGTGGAGAGGTCTCCCCAGTTGCCACCTATTTATTGCATCTCTCTCCTGAGCTTAGAGCATTTATGCCTAGATCTGTCAGGACTCTGTTTAGACCCTCTCCTCCCCAATAAAGGTATCCTCAAGCTTGTCATGTGCCTCTCTTGCAGCTTCCTCTGGCCCTGGTGGAGGCCAAAGGCAGGGAATCAGGAAGAGATGGGACACTGGGCATGAAACAGCAGCAGCCCTACATCCATCACTGGGCCAGACTATGAGTGGGAATTCACTGGAGCAGAGTCAGAATTCAATGATCATGGCCCAGCTGTCCTTAATTTCTAAATAAACTTGAAAATAAGGCTATACTTGACATCTTTATCCTTCTGTGTACATTTCTCCTGGTATATTCCAAGACACCCAGTATAGGTGAGGGCAGAACATCAGAGCAAGGAGTACTGAGGCTGACAATTGCAGGTTTTGATCAACCACACTGGCTGATGATGCAAAGACAATAAAAAGCATGTCCAGGCTCTACTTGGCAACTTCCTCTTTTAGTACTTCTGTCACTTCCTGTTGCAGTGAGCTAATTTTGAGCCCCCCTCCCTAGCTTGTCTCTTTAGTGGTGGAACATAGGGAACATTGGACTGGCTATGTGAACTCAGCGCAAGTCATTTCACTCTCTGGCTCTCTTTTTTCTCTCAAATGTTAGGTGAAGAGTCTAAACTATCTGTGGCTGCTAATATTTAGGATACATAGCCTTCTTTAATCTCAGAACAGTCACAAGACTCCCCTCCTTGTATAACAGAGGTTCTACTATCATTCAGTTAGTCTGCAGATAAGGTTTGATATACATATGGATTAAGGGCCCCTTAAGAGTCCTTAAGATGTTCCCTTATTACAATAGCCAGAACATGGAAGCAACCTAGACATCCATCAACAGGTGAATGGATAAAGAAGTTGTGGTACATAGATACAAAGGACTATCACTCAGTCATAAAAAGGAACAAAACTGAGTCAGTTGTAGTGAGGTGGATGCACCTAGAGTCTGTCATACAAAGAAAAACAAATGTCATACATTAATGTATATATATGGAATCTATAAAAATGGTACTGATGAGCCTATTTACAGGGCACAGATAGAGACACAGATGTAGAGAATGGACTTGTGGACACAGTGGGGGAGGAGGGGGCAGGACGAACTGAGAGAGTAGCATTGACATATATACACTCTCATGTGTAAAACAGACAGTAGTGGGAAGCTGCTGCGTAACACAGGGAGCTCAGCTCCGGTGCTCAGTGATGACCTAGAGGGGTGAGATGGGGGTGGGATGGGAGGGAGGCTCAGACAGAGGGGATCTATATACACAGAGTTGATTCACCTTGTTTTACAGCAGAAACTAACACAACATTGTAAAGCAATTATGCTGCAATAAAAAAAGAAGAAAAGATCTTATAGTCACTCAGTTGAATCTGTCCATGACCCTAACACTGCCAAAATATCCTATTTTTTGACTGCCTATCTCATTCTCTCAAGTTCCTGGCCTCAGAAAATCATCTCTCCTAGCTGGTAACACTGAATAAGAAAGCAAATACTTTCCCTCACAAAATAGAACAAAGGTGAGACCCTTAAGGTTTGACTGTCCAGAGCAAAAGTTAACCGGAAAAGTTAATTTGGGGGAATGAGGAGAGGCGATATTGACACATTGTCTTCTGGGGCTTCATGGAGCTGAAGAAGTCCTAGAAACAAGGAAAACTTGCAGAACCAGGTAAAAAAGTATTTAACCCAGGGCTCCCCAGATTTCTCAGCAAAGACTGAGATGAGGTGAGACTGTTTGGATATCCAAGCGCAGAGGATCTAGCACACGTTGGGCTATTACACAGACCTAGTTTTGAATTCTAGGCCACCCACGGACACTTGAAATTAGAAAGGCAACTCACCCTACCTCTCCACGCCTCGCTAATCTTCTATAAAATTGGTGTAACAGCTACTTCACAAAGTTGTTGTGAAGCTTAAATTGGAATAAATTAGCTAGCATACATGAAATACCTAGACTATTGACTAGCATATCATAGGTTTTCAATGAGCATTAGTCTTATATCCCAAGTTATTTGTGACTGGTCAGTTATTTTAGGAGGAGAAATCCCAACATTATAAATTCATCTGTCCCAATGCATTTTCACTTTTTTCCTTTCTTCTCTTAGTGAACTGTCCTTTTTAAAAGTTTCATCTTTGCTACACCCAAACTAGGGGGAAATGTGTTTTCCCGCGCCTGGCCTAAAGGGTTTAGGGGCTCTGTGTTCTAAGTGTTTGTGCTTCAGAGGCCAGGCCAGGCACCTACCCAGTAGCTCAGGACTCCTCGCCATCCACACTCTATGCATACGCCAAAGAGAGCGATTCCCTGATGGTCAGCCTCTGTCGACTCCTGGTGCTTGCCCACTTTCCCCCAAACCTCCCCTCTCCACTAGATAAATATTTACGGCAACTAGGATAACAGGGTCCTCATGGCCTGGACTGATAGGGCTCAGCCCCATCCCACTCTAACTGAACTATTTAAACAGAGTGCGGCTTTACGTGCGGAAGGTAGAGAGACTCAATCACAGGGCCCGGCCGTTCTCCTCACAGGCCTAGCCCCGGGAGTATCCTCCCCCAACGCCAGGAACTGCAGAAGTCGCGCGGGCACGCGGCCAAGCGGACACTCGGAGGGTGGGGAGGGGGCGGAGGGCGGGTGTGGGGGCGGAGTCAGGCGCGCACGTTAGCACCGTCTACCTACGTCGGCTATAAAGCCCCTCCTGGTAGCCATCTCCCACCAGTGCGCGAAGGCACACGGAAGATTTCGACATGGCTTCGTCGAAGTCCATGGTTCTAGGTTACTGGGATATTCGCGGGGTGAGTGCGGTCTCAGCGGCTAAACCGCTCGGTCTGGGAGACTGACGCGGAGGTAGTGGGGGGTCCTCTTGGCGGTCTCCGAGGCCAAACCTCCGACACCGCGCTGCGCAATGGTGCGCGGCCGGGCTCCTGCGAGCTCCGGGGCCGCGGAGACCAACCCCCTGCTCCGCCGTTGGAGACGCTGGCCTGGGGGAGAGGGGCTGAGGGCAGCAAGCCAGCCCGGGGTAGGTCTCGGGAGCTAGTTAACCACCCCATCCCGGCGGGTTGCGGCGTCTCGGCAGCCCTAGCAGGGACGTTGGCGGGTGAGGGGTGGAAGATGTTGGGGCTTGGGGGCGGGGAACTGCGCAATTGCTGACCGAAAGCTTTCCCCCACCCCCACCCTTCTCCCCCCGACCCATCAGCTGGCGCACGCCATCCGCATGCTCCTGGAGTTCACGGATACATCCTATGAAGAGAAGAGATACACGTGCGGGGAAGGTAATGTTTCAGTAGGTGCCAGTGCGACGGCGCCCTGAGCCGAGCAGGTCTTCCAACTGTTCCTGCCTTCTTGAGCCCAGAGGGTGGCATCACGCCAAGGTCGGGTGGGACTTCTGCCACCAGTCACCTGGGAGCTCTCTGCTGTGTTTAGTGTGGGGAGAGAGCTGGGAATTCTCCTCGTGCCATAGCCCAACTCTGCCTTAACACTGATGGTAATGGCTATGCTTTTGGGGTCTGGGTATGTGAGGTATTGGGCTTCCCAGGTGGCGCTAAAAGAACCCGCCTGATAATGCAGGAGACATGAGATGGGGGGTTGATCCCTGGGTCAGGAAGATCCCCTGGAGGAGGGCATGGCAACCCACTCCAGTTCTTGCCTGGAGATTCTTGCCTGAAGAATCCCATGAACAGAGGAGCCTGGCAGGCTAGAGTCCACAGGATCGCAAAAAGTCGGCCACACTGAGGCAATTTAGCAGGCTTGTGAGGAATTGGAATTAGGGTGTGTCCCTAAAATCTTTCCACGCTCCTCAGGGGGATTTTAAGCTGGTTGGATCGCACTTTATTCTTTCTCTTACAGCTCCTGACTATGATAGGAGCCAGTGGCTGGATGTGAAATTCAAACTAGACCTGGACTTTCCTAACGTAGGTGGTTTTAGGAGAAGAGGGGGCAGAGGGGAAGGCCTTCAGCTATATCCTTGCTCCTTTCCTCTCTAGTGGTTTGTAAAATAAGGGCTCTTCCTCTCGATAGAATGCAGGGGGTCCTTATACTTGGATGAAGAAAAAGTTACATTTGCATTTCTACTAACCACTAGCTGAAAGTTAACAGTTCCTTCTGTTGTGAATGTAGGCAATGTGACTTTGATTATTAGCCAAGCCTGTGACTGGGTATTTTTGTATTACATGTGCTGCAAATATTATAAATAAATATTATTTACACTTATCATACTTTGAAAGTATGATAGAAATTACATCTTGTTATTTAATGCATTAATAGGCACATATTACAATTTTGTTCTTTTAATGTTATGTAAATTATGTAATATGTGTAATTTGCTTTATGCATTTAAAAACCTTATTCGGAGAAAAAGTGCATAGCGTGCACATGCCCATACACAAAAACACACACAGTAAAGCATCCCTGTCTAGAATCAAGTGTAGACTCAGTTGCTACCTTTTACTTTCTTTCTTCTTTCTCCTAACACAGCATTTTCTCTCTACTGTTCTCTTCCCTGCAAGTCTTCTTTCCCAGGAGAGAGAGGCAGGGAGGCAAGAGAAAGTCAGGTTGCTCATTTGGCCTGTCCTTTTCTTTCCAGCTGCCCTATCTCCTGGACGGTAAGAACAGGCTCACCCAGAGCAATGCCATC